ACGGGTCGAAGAAGAAGAAGAAGAAGAAGATGAACAAAACTCCCTATCATAGCCCCATACATCTATGATGCTAGGTACCATGTCAATCCCTATATACACTAAGTACTACCGTACTTAGTGATATGATACGGTGTACTTCATCTGGCTCCACAGTGCACAAAGTGTGGTAGAGGTACGTTTCACAACATAACTAGCAAAACCGCCATTACAAAATAGGCTAAAACCTGTTGATATCGCTTCTTGACTGCCTTATTGCACATGGGTGCAGAAAATCTTGTACCGTAATAGAGAGACAGACCGACCAAGTTCTGTAACCCTTGCTGAGCATCCATGCAAGCCGAGGATTAAATTACTTTTCTACTAAACTAACCAGACGATACTCTCTATCCTTCAAAAATGTGCCATTGTGGTCAAGTAGCTTCACATTACCCTTGAATGTCCCCAGAGCAATGAACTGAATGTACGAAAAATGTTAGTATAAACTGTGCCGTTACATAACTTGAAAATACCTTAGGGTGAACCGTAATGCAGTTTATGACATCACGAGTCCCTTCGGATCCATCACATGTTGACTGTACAACTTCTTTAGCAAACCTTTTGTACTTCAGAACGGGCTCTTCGTCTTCGTCATCGGAACTGGAATAAGAACCCTGGCTCCCTTCGGAACTTTCAGTTTCCTCTGACGATATCCTCTCCTCTGCCATAGTCGTCGCCTTCCAGTCTCTTTGAGAGGGGCTGGCCTCGCGAGACTAGTCGCTTGGCCACCAGCAGCAAGAACAACGTCGCCAGAGCATGCAGCGCAGGAAAGAGACGCTTTGCAGAACACAATAATGTAGGCGGGGCTTGAACGACCCACCTGGTTCATATGCGCATGAGTATAACGTTACACGTGGAGAGACGTTTGGAGGCTACCGGGAGTAGGACTCATCGTTGCAACAGAGTAAAGAGATGTTCTGGCTGAATTATGCACGGTAGGTCATGTGGCTTGTACGTATGCATCTCCCTTCCATCGCTACTAACGTTTTACCATCACCAGTGCAGTAGCACGCTTTCTCCGAGCCGGGCCCTTACTTGCGGGCATGGAGCGACCCACGCCGTTCTTGGAGCCTCCTCTCCAGTAACTACCGTGCATGTTTTTGGAGTAAACCAAGCTCATCGTAGTTTATGTGTGATGACTTCTAAATGCTCAGGTATATACAAAATCTTTTCGCCTTTACTTGTGACTAAAAACACGTCACTCCTTTCTGTAATGAGTGAAAACCCTCGGCGAACTGCGCATGCGTGTTACCGCTAATTGATGGGTTGGGCTATTATGCGTTAACTCGTGGAGCTCGCGGAGAGTCTGACACAGGCTAGTAGATAGCTGTTGTGACTTCTTGTGCCTTCAAGATGCACAGAGTAAGCGGACCCGGTCTAGGTAAGTCTGTGCTAATTCATATTCGCTTGTTCACTTGCCTTTCACGCCATAACTTCTGAACGCGGCACTTTTACGAAAATCGCCATTTAGCCAGTGTAGCGCTGAACCCGTTGGTGTCTTTACCAGTTCGTTGCGCATGGAGGCAGAAACATGGTAACAGACTGACAAACCAAGTACTCTAAATGCACTATGTTATTAATTAATAACCCTTTGTTGTTGTGTGTGTCCGTCTGTCCATTACCCAACATCTCACTTAAAGTACATCAAACAAGTATTTCCTTTGTTCCTTTGTCAAGCCTGCTGACTGTATAACTGCAGGCATTCGTTCCCTCCTAATTTGGCAGAGAAACTCCATGTTTTAGAATGTTAACAGTTTTTCTTCTGAATTCTCTCGAACAAAAACAGTGGTGGGTGCAGAAGCAGAAAACCGGAAATGTTGATTCTTTGTAATAAGTGGAATGCGCTTAAGTATTGTGGGGAAAAATCCCAAGCCAAACAATTGTGGGACATTGTTTTGACTTGAACTCTGCGCAACTTCGCCCATTTGTGCTAGGGTGTCAGTATCACATTGGCGATAAATGTTTTTGCACCTGGTGTGACCAACATGCATAAATGATAGTGTGATATCCTGGTGTTTGCCAGGGATAACTCGCCAAGTGAGGTAGCCAATGACAAAGTCATTTTATTTTGTCTGACACAATTGTTGCAGTGAAAATGAAAAGCACTGAAGTGCAAACCCTCAGCAAACTGTGCAAGCTTGATACCACTAATTAATGGGCTGGGCCGTAGTATGCGTTTACTCGTGGTCTCCTGCTGAGATTCCAGAGGATAAAATAAGGTTTTATTTTTGATTGGTCAGAGTGGCAGGCCAAATTTGATATTGCGCTGCCATTTACAAATAATGGTTGGACAAGCTCCAGCGCTAATTTTAAAAACCACACATGGGAATGGCAACAATACAAATCAACATTCACATGATATGTACATGTACAGCATATGACTAACTAAATATTTAACCCTCGGCGCGCATGCGCAGCGAGGGTTACAGTACTTGTTCTGTCCGTCTGTCTGTGGTTCAGCGCTACACCCGCTTCATTTTTAAAATCCCGAATTTTGTAAAAGTGCCGCGTTCAGAAGTTATGGCATGAAAACCAAGTGAACAAGCCAATATGCAAATTAGCACAGGCTTACCTCGACCGGGTCCGCTTGCTCTGTGTACCTTGGAGGCACAAGAAGTCACAACGAAGGGCGTTTATCGCCTCCCGCATGCTATCTACTACTGTAGCTAGCCCGTGTCAGACTCTTCGCGAGCTACTCCGCGAGTAAACGCATACTATATACAAATAGCCCAGCCCATCAATTAGCGGTACCGCGCATTCGCAGTTCGCCGAGGGTTTGCACTTTAGTGCTTTTCATTTGTCCCAGTCATCCAGAAATCTCTCTGGCTCTACATCAGAGGTAGGTGTGAACGAGGTCTCCTGTGTTGAGCTGCTAGCGGAAGAAGGCCCACTTCGTAGTTTATAGCTTTTCTGCTCGCACTGATTTGGATGTGCATGTTCGTAGTACGCATTGACTCAGCTACCTCGATCCATTTGTCACTATAATTCCTCCGCCCGATGATACTCGCGTTGTACTTGTAGCGTATCTGACACTTTAGCTTAGTGACGCACCATTTGCGTGCCACAGCTTCTTCCTCACAGTTCAACCAGCTCACTGTTTGACACTCGCGATCGTACTCTGTGACCCAGTGCTTGTATGTTTCATTCTTAACTTTCTTTCACTTAGTCTCCGGTTCAGCTGTAGACGGCAAGGAAGAAGCAGAGCTGGACTGTCGCGTCATTTCCCCTCCACGTGCCGTCGTCCATATGCGAGCGGCAGTGTAGAGCAAAGTGCTACTGCGGATTCACTTGGACATTAGGCCGGCCATTCACGCATTTGCACGGACAACGGCTCCATATGCACGGAAATTGTCCGATGTCCGACCGTTATTTCACACTCTGAGAGTCTGACACGGGCTAGCTACAGTAGTAGAAAGCATGCGGGAGTCGATACACGCCCTCTGTTGAGACTTCTTGAGCCTCCAAGTTACGCAAGCACATATTGTCAAGGTAAGCCTGTGCTAATTGCATTTGGCTTGTTTACTTGCTTTTCACGCCATAACTCTCGAACGCAGTATTTTTACGAAAACCACCAGTTTAAAATCAAGCCAGTGTAGCACCGAACCTATTGGCATAGCTAATTGGCTGTCTCGTTGCACCTAATTGCAGAAAACGTAGTAACATACACACACACACACACACAAACCAAGTACAGTAACCCTCGCTGCGCATGCGCACCGAGGGTTAATGACACTTCCTCTCTTGTGGACCATGTTTAGTAAGATAATGGTCAAGCGTAGAAATGACTGAATTTGGCCCATGTTTTTTGTTCCATTGGGGCCTATACTATTGTTGGTCTGCTTTCGGTTGCTATCACAGCAAACACGGTATTTTGCGGTACCCTTTAAAATATAGCAGTCCAACATGTCAGGCATGGTGGGGTATAAAAACTTGCTCAGCAAAATCGAATGTATATGTGCAAAATCAGGTGATGGTTCAGTTTCTTGAGCAATGGAAAACTGAGATTCAGATTTTTGGCTGAAGAGATGTAATACTCTCGTTCTTGCTGTGTGAGTTCAACATGCTCAGAGAATTCTCTGCTCACTCTAACTTTTTCATATTCATGAATTGCTAAATTGTTCACATTTTGCACATACATCGAATCTGGTTGTCATGAAGACAATGTCAGGGAGGCATTGTTTCAGAAACTATTTCATACGGATATGTAGTGGCAGGAACATGTGAAGTTAAGCCATGTTCATGTGGTACTGGGTCATTTTCACGAAGACGTTTCTGGAGGTTTTTTAGCTGCTTTGTGCCAATGCTATGCAAAAAGAGGAATCCACCATTGCATACATGTTGATGATCAAATGCATAATCACAGTTTACACGGTTACGTTTGCCTAGTTCACCTGTTGTGGATGCTGAGTTAAATCGGTGGTTCGTCGACTTTGTTCATTTAACATAAAGATAGGTGAAACGAGAACACTTCTGCAGTAGTAAATTGAGAAAATTAATTTCAGCACATGAGCACCCGGCTGAAGTTTGCGAGCAATGTCAATAAACATGTGGTCGCACTCCGGGGAAATCAAGCCAACCTGGGTGGTGGAGGAACTGGGGCCATCAGTGTTATTTGTTCTGGACTGACCTACCCTACAAACTCGACACTGTAACTCTGCCATATCTAAAGGTTCTCTCTCTTGGGGCTGGGAATCTGTCTATATTGCTATGGCTGGTGTTTATGGCTACCAGCGGCTCAGGATCCAGACGTTATAGCCACCGTCTTTCCGAGCGCGTATCTCCCTAGCCATAGCAATATAGACAGATTCATAGCCTTCACAGAACTTAGCTACGGTAAGTCAGGTACAAAAACGGCCACTTCACTAGCAGTATAGACATTATACCCACTCTTATTCCGAGCGCGTATCTTCCAAGTCGTACAACCCTAGCACATGCAATAAGGATCATTCAATAGCACAATATCCTATAAATAGAACAGAGCGTACAGTAAGCTAACTACGGCGCTTGGAAAAGTGACATCTCCATAGACCTGCATAGAAAACGTCAACAAAATGGCGGAGGAATGTACCCTGGAAGTTGCGTCACGTTCAATTATGAGCTAATGAATTCCTCAGTGCTTTACGTGAAAAGGGCTATTCATCATATTCGCTTTCCAGAGCAGCTACATCATCCTCTGCCAGACTCAGTGAACTCATAGTAGTGAAAAATGAAGGCTGGTTTTCAACTTAGAGTTAGCCATTTGTTGCAATAAATGAGGGATGTGTCTGCACATGTGAGAATCTCATGGAAGCTGGAAGCTGTATGGTGTGTTGGACACCGTTGAAAACAGGATACGTCTTCCTTCAATCTTACGGCAGACCTTGCAACGCTTGTCAGTGCATCGCACCATGCGGGAGTCTAGCCTGGTTATGGGAATGGGGGTACCTGCCCTATTGGGGGGCGGTGGGATCCAGGGAGGGATGCCTTCACCAGGGAGTCTGCCAATGTGGGGTTGCAAATCTGGGGAGAGTTAGGAAAGAGAGTGGAGAGAGATGAGTCGTTCTGCAGAAGGGGCCAATGGTGAGTAGGTAGTTACAAGTCTGGGTAGGGGGGTGAGGCTAGGGCTGGGGCTGTTTCTTGAAATTGCATCTGCTGCTGCATTTTTTGCCCCAGGGAGGAGCCGAGCAACTAGGGTAATGTCATAGATTGCACAGAAAAGGCAGAGCAGATGTAGTAGCCTCGAGAGGATCGGATTGCAGGCTTATTTTTTGTTTACAGCATACACAACCGCCATGTTGTCGCACTGGGTGCAAACCTTTTGGCCGCTCCACTGCGGCCCCCAAGTAACTTTGTCCTCGAAGGCCCTCCTCGGACGAGGGAACGTGCAGCTGGAGGAAGAGGGGCCTTTTTTGTTGCTGGAGCCATTGAGCTTAAGGCGCAGTCTTCTGTGATGTCGTCTACTTCGCTGCAGATAGCACAAGGGGTAGCTGGAGAGTCTGCTTGCGAGGAGATGTAAGCAGAGAAAGGTAGCGTATCCCACGCCCTGGTCGATTCCAACGGAACACCTGGTCATATGTGATCCACCCAGTGCCTCCATATTTTTGAGCCTCCCGCACTAGAAGGCGCATGTAGGCCAGCATGTCTCTCACGCGCCCCGGGTGCGCCGCTGCTACCA